TCGTTAATTAAATAACAATTTGATAAATATGAACACTATTATAAAAAAACAATATAAAAAAAATGTAGTTTAATTAATATTAGACCAATAAACGTTATTATTAATTAGCACATTCAAAATTAAAAACAATTAAACTTATTAAAGTAGTCAATTTTGAACTAACTAGATTTTTTAAATTTTTATTTTACGCATTTACATTATTTAAAATTAGTTCTAAAAATAAAGATGTAATAAAAATCTATTAAGATAATTAACTGTTTTTGAAAATAAAAGTTCGTTAATTAAATAACAATTTGATAAATATGAACACTATTATATGAGTAAATCTAAGTACAGAGGAACCTCGCTTAACGAGTTTAATCCATTCCAAAATTTTCGGATTATTACTGGTATAGCGAAACATATTCAAAAATACACATAATATGTGACACAAGTTTTAAAAATGATGTAACAGGCGCGCAATCCGGGACTTCTCTTCTCATCGTCACTCGTTATTCGAAACGTCGCTCGTTTTACGAGTCATTTTTCTTACATTTCATTTTGCTCGTTAAGCGAAATGCTCGTTATGCGAGTATATATATAATTATAAGCTGAAAACCATGTTGTCAATAGCTGTTGTATTTTTATTTTGTTTACTATTGCAACTGCAAAAAATATTATTATTATTAATTAATAATTATGTAACATTTCATATAAAAAACAGCGCCAATTCTGCTGAACTATAAGCTTACAAGTTTAACTGTAAGAGGGTAATAATTTTGATGCGTTAGCTGATCTACAAACCTTTGTTATTTTTAAGATTATGCAAATGATGGCGCTGCGAAAGATTGTCATCAAATAAAAAATATTCGAATTGATTTAAATATTAAAAGGTTATACATAAAATCATTTATTTGGCATTTTGTACAGAATTCTGTATAAAGCTATTATTTTCCATGATAATAAAAGACATTTAAATGAAATAACTATACTCAAATTTTAAAAACAAAATTAGCAGATTACAGATAAAAAAAAATCAATTTTGAATTGATGTTGCTTTGTCTATACTTACTATCAAATGTATATCAAATTATTCAACAGTATATGAAAGAGAACTATTGACATTACCTAATAAACTATAGGAATTTCAAAGTTATCATAAAAACGAAATCAAATCCATTCAAATTTGGTCTATGATTAATATAAATGTGAATACCATAGTATTTATATAAAACGAAGAATGATCAGTTTCAAGATGCTAAATACAAAATAATTAAATTATCAAGATAATACAATACTAGTTTAACGAGTTTAATCCGTTCCAAAATTTCCGAACTTTTATTCGAACAATGAAATACTCGTATAGTGAAACATATTTAAAAATACACGTAATATGTGTATACAAGTTTTAAAAATGATGTAGCAAATACGCAATCCGGGAGTTCTCTTCTCATCGTCACTCGTTATGCGAAACGTCGCTCGTTTTTCTTACAATTCAATTTGCTCGTTAAGTGAAACGCTCGTTATGTGAGGTGGTCGTTAACCGATTTCAATAAAATCCGCTTACAAAAATCACATTTAGACTACTAAACAATGCAATTAACAACAAATATAGTTTATGTAAACTATTCTAGAATATTCGATACAACTTTTCTTGTAACTAATTTATTTGATATCGCATTAAATAGTAATGATACAACATTTATATTATAAAACGGGGATGAGCAAATGCGGCTCTTTTGTTAAGAAATTCCGGCTCCGAGCTCTTACTGTAGAGCTGTAGAGCTATGTTGAAATGCTACTTGCGGCTCCCTAAACTTTTTTTTACAAGCAAGTGGCTCTATGCTCCATAAAGGTAGCCGACCCCTGTTTTACAACAAAGTTTAACATTAGTATTAATCTTCAAATCTCATATTAATACTATTAATTTTCTGATGATTATATAAACTACAAATATGGTTATAATTAAGTTACTTAAATATATTTTTTCAATAAATAAGGCAGTATTTCTGTCACCTTTTAGTGATTATCAACTCCAATTAAAATTTTGTATTAACTAAAATTAATAAAGTTTATAAATGTAAAATGTGTTGCATAAGTAGTTCATTTAATTCCTGTCCGGTGTGCGCAGATTTGTTGTGATAAAAGTTGGTGTGCACGTTGAACAAGAAAAGGCTTTAATTTTAAGTAAAATGGCAAGTTTTGGAAGGTTTTCGCGCTTATATCGCTTAAGCCAAGTTGCCATCAATAATGGAAAATTCTTGGCTCACCGAAACACTTTTACTTACGGAAATAAAGGTGAGTAGTCCGATTTGAGGTTATGCAATGATTTCTAGAACTTTAAACCCGGATTGTAATGTTAAATTGATATTTCCAGCGAGTCTGCTCAATGTTAGATTCTTAAGCACCGACGCTGAAGCCAAAGAAGACTACCATACAATCATCAAAGATACAGAGAAGCCAAAAGGTTTTTTTTTCCCTTTTATAATTAATACTTATTGATTTTAATTAATACTTTCCTTAGGTGAAAGTACCAAGCATGAATTCCAAGCGGAGACAAGAATGTTGCTGGATATTGTTGCAAGATCTTTGTATTCAGAAAAGGAAGTTTTTGTTAGAGAGTTAATTTCGAATGCAAGTGATGCTCTGGAGAAGTTCCGTTATTTATTGCTGTCAAGTGAGGAGGCAAAGCAAACTTTGCAGGCACAGGACAGGCAATTGGAAATTCACATTTCCACTGACAAACAAAACAGGACATTGACAATCCAAGATACTGGCATTGGTATGAGCAAAGATGAGCTCATTTCCAACCTTGGTGTTATTGCCAGATCTGGCTCAAAGGCTTTCCTTGAGAAATTGAAAGATAAGAATGCTGCTGGTGGTGAAAATGCTAACAATATCATTGGACAGTTTGGTGTTGGCTTCTACAGTGCCTTCATGGTTGCTGATAAGGTTGAGGTTTATTCTAAATCTTCAACTGGAGATCAGGGTTATAAATGGAGCTCTGATGGGTATTTTCCATTTTCAATTAATTTTATTTATTTTTTAATTATTTGTTTATTTTAGAACTGGAGTTTATGAGGTACAAGAAGCTGAAGGCGTGCAAAACGGAACCAAGATCGTGATGCACTTGAAAATGGATTGTCGCGAATTCTGCGATGAAGATACTGTTAGTAATATAATTAACAAGTACAGCAACTTTGTTGGAAGCCCAATTTACTTGAATGGTAAAAAGGCGAATGCTGTGCAACCACTCTGGTTGATGGATCCAAAGAATATCACTCCACAACAGCACAGCGAATTTTATAGATACATTAGCAACAGTTATGATCTTCCTAGGTTTACCTTACATTACAACACAGATGCTCCCCTATCTATTCATGCTCTGTTATATTTCCCAGATGGCAAACCAGGTAAGAATATCTATATTATTGTAATAAATGTATTTAAAGTATGTACGTTTAGGTTTATTTGAGATGTCAAGAGAAACTGAAACTGGAGTAGCTTTATATACCAGGAAAGTTTTGATCAAAAGTCGAACTGATAATATTCTCCCGAAATGGTTGCGTTTCGTAAAAGGCGTTGTCGATTCTGAAGATATTCCCTTGAATTTAAGCAGAGAATTGCTGCAAAACAGCGCGTTAATCAAGTGAGTGTTATATAATAATTGAATCCTATTTATTATTCCGAAATTGCGTTTTGTCTTACAGGAAATTGGGCAGCGTTTTAACAAACAGAATTTTAAAATTCTTGTTAGACAAGGCCACCAAAAATCCCGAAGAGTACGATAAATTCTACACAGATTATGGACTATTTTTAAAGGAGGGAATTATTGTAAATCATGACCAAAATGAAAAGGTTAGTAACAGTTTATTAATATTTTAAAGATAAATCATATAACTTTATACAATATCAAACAATTCGCTAGCAGATCCTTGGCTCGTACAATCTTCGTTTGCCAGCGACAACAAATCCTCGTTGTCACTCTCATCCATGGGCAATTGTTCTTCGTCGTCTTCCTCCATGATTTCCGTGGTAGTCCCAGTGCTCTGACTTATAATATCCTCTTCATCCAGATTTTTGTTCTTTAAAATTCCCATCCAGAAAGCTTGTTGGCAATTATTCGCTACCAGAAGCGCCTTAACTCTGTATATCAAAGTTTCCACGATCGATCGGTATTGAGGAATGTAGCTGATCAAACTGGAGTTCTTCATCGCTTTGGTGTAGCAACACAGGTGATGTAGGAATCTGGTGCTGGACTGTAAAATTTTAAATATTTCCAACACCTCGTCTGTCTTTGACTTCAGCATGATTTCCAAAACTGGTATTCCGTGGGTGTAAAATTGTTTCAGTATGATGATAGATTTTTTAAGGAAGGTGGCCAACTCTCCTTTGGATTTGTGCATTTTAGCAACAGTCATTAGGCCTTGCATGGTGAGAGTGGTAGTTCGCCAAAGAGCCAGATGTTCTGTATTAGTTAAGCTCACTATTTCTATTTTAACACCCTCAGCTAAAGCGTAGCATAAACCACGGTAAAACACATGGAAGTTCGCTCTGTCTATGCTTTCCAGCATTTCAAGGGAGGATGTTTTAGTCGCTAGATTTGGTATTTGCTCTTGCAAAGTACCTACTAGTCCGCATATAGTTTTAATCTTTGCGTCTTGGAGATACGCCTTCACTAATATATCTATGTGAGCAAAAGCGTTTCGACCAGTCTCTCGGTTCCCTTGTAGATTATACCATTTCCTCTGCAGTAACTTCTCACTGACACTCACAACCTTCTTCTTTACAAGTGGTCCCATTTGGACTTTATACAGTGATTGCATCGTCTCGATCATCGATATCGCAGCTGGCAGATACAAACACTGATCCACGTAGCTGGTGAGGGCATCCAAAAAGTCCATAATCAATTTATTTATGGGTACATTGATTGGTGAAGATGTTTCCCCTTGGAAAGTTCTTAGACATATTATGAGTAGTTTCTCGTTCTTGACATGCTGAAACCCTACCCAACTAAAAATCAACGAATAAAATTCAAATATCAAAGCTATAGTTATCTTCAAATCCACGACTTCATCGGTGAACATATGTGGGTCATCTAGTATACCATCCACAGACTCCAATTCGCTTTTTAATTTCTCAGTGATCACACTTGTCTGAACGTGAATGTTTGGTATTAACCGGCCACAGCTCTTGATCAACTTCTCAACATCCACGATACTCAAATGCGATAGCCCCAAGTTCTTGTACTTGGTAAGCACGCTCAACTTGCACACGAAATCTTTCAAGATGTATTGGAATTGCTTTATGTGGAGATACGTACTTTCCTGAGTTTGCGACTGGTTTAAATTTAAGGGGTATTTAATCAAGACTATAACATCAGTGTCTAATTCTCTGAACTTATAGTTGTAATCAAATTTCGAAACTTTTGATTTGCTGCCCGCTTGTGTTCTTTGCGTCGGAAGCGCTGAAGTTGATGCAATTGTATCATTTTGAGTTGGATTCGTCGTCTTCTGCTTTTTGCTGGGTGGTCTTCCCGTTAGAGTTTTTCCTATTTTACTTGGAGATTTTGGAATATTCTGAGTGACATGGTCGAAATAACTGGACGGTAGTTTATGATCAGGTATAATTTCCATGCATTTGTCTAACTGATCTTCCAGTTCTACCAGGTGCATTAACCTCTGAAGCACTTTTTTCCGCAACTTTTTGGTGTTTTGTGTAACGAATGCACTGATAAGTTCTCGGAACCAATTGATACAATGGAATATGCAATCGGCAATCAACTTCACGTGATCAATATCCATTGATTCTAAGTTCGCGTGCTGGGGCAGTACTACTCCGCAGCCCAACAACGCATCAATTGTTGACAAATCTCCATTGTGTTGTTTTTGGCTGAGGATTCTTAAAAGCCTGAATAATGGCGATAGAATTAATACGTTCGCTTTTGTTTGATTGTTAACAATTATCAAATTACCCATCCTAATACCAATAGGCTCATCCACCTCGTTTTCGGTGTTTAATGAGTGATGGAACGTTAATTTGATAGGACCTACGCGTTCTTCCGTCATATCTGTAATGAAAGCGCTCTCGAACTCATTAGTTATCTTCGTGAACAACCAATATATAGAGTTAGGTTCCATATCACCCGAGTCAACAATCATTGCGGAGAGTTGATCGTAATACAAACCACAGAGATTTGGAATGTTTGAAGTACATTTGTTGATCATATCGAATAATTTGGCGATATCCTGTGGCTTCCCCAACGGTAAATCATATATACTTATGTTCTCTTCAGAAAAACTGATCTCGTTTAACGATTCTCCAGTTGCAGCCATGTGTTTTGCCATAACAACCCCAGACACTATACCTCTGTGTTGAGTGTCCTTTTTATTACTAGCCAATTGCTTTCGAATGAGCATGTGAATTTCATCCTTCAGACCCGTCACGGATTCGTCGCTATCTTCGGCGCATGTTAATTTACATAAAATTTCATACAATTTCTTCACCTCCTTCAGTTCCAAATCTTCAGTCATCCTTAACAAACCCATGAGCAATAAGGAGTGCTCTTTGAGTTTCTCTTCGCCCAACAGCGAATTTAAAATGTCCAGCACTGTTGCAGCATTTTTACACTCGTTAATTCCCATTAAGAGAATCAGACTATACAAGATGTCTTGCCTTTGAAAGCTTGTGCAAAGCGGGCTGCAGAAAATCAATTTGATCATCAACGATCCTGTTTCTACAACTACGTGATCAATAACTAGCACTAAGCAATTGGCAATATCCAACATCGACTGAAAGTAGCTGTTAAAGAGATGCTGGATAAAACACTTCTCAAACGTTTTCTCAATCAAATCTATTTTAAATAATCCCGCTTTAATTCGCTTTTTAAACGTTGCCTCAATAAGAGTCTTATTTGAATTATTTATACTATGCAACATGAAAAGTATTATTATATCAATAGGTTTATGTTTACTGGAATCAGCTATAGTTGAAATCATGCCCATCAAACCATCGAAAACGTTTTTTCTGCGACTAATCAAAATTTGTAATTCTTTGCAAACAACCAGTTTATTGGTGATCACTTCAATCTCTTCAGATTCTGTTTTTAAAATGTTATCAAATGTATTCCTTGCTTTGAACAATATGGGAATTAAATTATCAGATTTATAACCTGTCACCAGGAACTGAAATAAAATTGGGAATATTTTGTAATACCTTGTACTTCCCAGAAGTTGTTCAGTTATGTATTCTTGAATAGTGTATATTGTTTCCTGGTTCAAATTGAAAGCATTCAAACAATCAATAATTGATCCTGTGAGATCCTCATTCTCCTCCAGTAACTTACAGAGAGGCTTTGCAACTTCATCATAAAAATCATCTGGCACTATTTCTGGTATATAAGTCAATATTTCTAACTGTGATGGAAATGTAGCTATCTCTAATGCATCCAGCAGTTTACTAGACAATTCTTTAGGTTTATTTATAAATGGAAGATATCTTAATGAGAATAATAGTTTTCTAATCCAGCCAGTCTCTTCAATTTCATTGCTCACTTGTGTTATCAACTGTTCTAGTACCATATCAATGATTGCACTCTGCAAACATTTAACATGCATTAAAATTCTTATTAGACATTCCTGTTTCATTGTCATTGTTTCCAAGCCAGGCTTCATAAGTTGTGTTGGAAGTAAGGCTTGCTGGAAGTTACACTCATTGTTGAGAAACACTGTGAGACCTTTCAAGAATTTAGATATATTGTGGGACTTTTCATTCAGAAACTTTTCCAAGTCAATAATAACAAGTGCCTGCTCTTGTATAAGGATAACCAGTTGATTCTCTTTATCCTGCTCTTCACCTGTGTCTGAAGTTAATTTCATGCCACTTCTTATTAAAACTGCCTGGAAATACTCAGATTCCGATTGTGAGGTTATGTTCCTCCTAAACGACATTGTTTTCCTGAAATGTACATAATTTTCTATTTATTTCTACTGTATTCGGAAATCATACCTATAATTTGCTTTTGATGTATATAATTTTGCTTAAATATGTTATTAATTAAGCCACAAAATGATAAAACTTGTTGGACTCGTTGTTTCTTGAAGATTCTGTATACAATTTGAATTGTAACTGAAAGAAATATGGCGTATATTTGCAAAACAAATTGCATAACTTGCAAGTTTTCAATTAATATTTAAATTTATTTTCAATTATTATTCATGTATTAGACCTACATTTACTAACAAGTTTTACAGCAGTTAAATGTATACATACTTTTGTTTATCGTTCTAGGAGGAAATTGCAAAACTCTTGCGTTTCGAATCGTCTCACAAAGATGCCGGAGCCAAGGTGAGCCTTCAGGACTACGTTTCTAAAATCACTGACGGCCAGAAAACTATCTTCTATTTGGCTGCCCCAAGGTATATTCTAAATAGTTCAATATCGTAATCTTTCAATTAACAATTTTACTTAATTACAGTCGCACCCTAGCTGAAGCATCACCATATTACGAATCTTTGAAAGCGAAGAAACAAGAAGTGCTCTTCTGCTATGAACCATACGATGAATTAGTCTTGATGCAGTTGCAACAGTTCAAGGGATTCAGGGTGGTTTCTGTTGAGAAGGACATGAGAGAGGACAAAGCTGCAGCCGATTTGACTAACTTAGGAGACGACAGCTTGAAGAGGAGCGAAATCGATGAACTTGTTAAATGGATGAAGGACCAATTGCCTGGAAAAGCCGCTCAAGTGAATGCCACCACCCGTTTGGAAAACCATCCTTGTGTTATCACTGTAGAAGAAATGGCAGCCGCGAGACATTTCATCCGCACACAAAGCCATTCGTTATCTGAAGATAGAAGATTTGCCCTGCTGCAACCTCAACTAGAAATCAACCCAAAGTATGCAGTTTTATTTAGAACTATAAATCATTGTTAACGCAATTTTATCTTCAGGCATCCTATCATCAAGAAACTGCACAAGCTGATTACTTCCGATCCACCATTGGCCGAACTCCTCACTAAACAGGTACGCTCATTCAATTATTTATAGAAAAATACTCGAGGCTAGTAATAATATCGTATAAAAACAAAGAAGAGCAACTATGAATTGAATAACAGTAGTCAGAAAATGTTATTCGTAGTAGTTTTCCTCAATACGTTTGAGAATAAAAATTTAAGGAAGAAAAATATCTCATATGATTGATGATAACGAGGAGTGCAAACAGTGAAAATATTTACGGACAGGAATTATTGATAATCTCGATTTCCTTGGAAGAATATCGCGGACGTTATCATCGAAACACCTGGGGGTTGAAAACTACGAGATGTTTAATAATTAAGGCTTCTGTTTTGTCACACGTACAGTTTATGTAATGAAATTGGCCGATAAGTTCCGTTTTGTTTGATCCTATCATGAGATACATTATCACCGTTGTAACAAAACGTTGGATAACGTATGTGATAAATGCCGTAGATAAAAATAAAATGTAAGAAGGCCGCTGCTGCATGTTTTCAAATTCCTTTTTTTTTTCTTCTTCTCTATTCCGTGATCATTATTATTGTCTTTTTTTTTCACAGCTGTTCGCCAACTCGATGGTCGGTGCTGGTCTCGTCGACGACCCAAGGATTCTCCTTACCTCCATGAATGATCTGCTGTCCAAGGCTTTGGACAAGCATTAAGGGATTTTCTGTTCTCTTTTTATTACTTAGTTTTCTTGTTTTAATTGTTATCATAAGGTATCATTCCTACACTCAAAAATGATATGTATTATGTTAATACAGATATAATTTTTTTAATGATGATTTATAGATTATTCCTCCTATTATATTACTAATAATTATTTTTTGTAATTGAAACAATTGAAAATTGAATTAGTACAGTTTTTGAATTAAGTAAAAATATTTAATATTAAAATGGCCGAGTGATAAAAGTACTTGAACAAAGATTGATAAGATTTCTATCAACAAATTAGACTGGTAATTGAGGATAGAAACAAATTTAATGATTGAAATTGACCATTAACTGGAGGATGGAAATACAGCTTTTTATAAATATTTGTGACATCTATGAGCTATCAAACAAATAATACACGTGGTAATAAAATTCAAAACGATTGATTTTACAGCGAACATAATAACAATATGTATGTGATTATGCTTATCGACAATCGAGATTACAACAAAATATTCAACGAATCAATAACATTTAATTACTAAAAAAAATGTACTTGTTTACTTTACAACCGCTTATCACCATCTGCAAACATCGCGTTAATTATTTAATGTTCGAATTAATTACGTAAACGCGTGTGCGCGCGTGATTTGTAAAGACTGCGCCGTCCGTCATACATTTATTCCATATGATTTTCTCGGTCGAAATGTTTTAACCCAGAAACGGTGTGCCAAGAGAGAGGAGTATCGTTCTCTCCATAAAGAAGAGATATCGCACAAGTCATAATTAAACTCTATTTGTTTAATCTGTTTCGCTGTTTAACATGATATTACACATGTTTGCCTTCACCATTTACATCAGAGCTCATACAACTTATATAAGAGAGGAATTAGTGGGCATAGTAGAAAATACTACAGTGTACGATTCCTTTACGTAAACTAAATGCAAGTCACTTGCGCCATGAATATTTGACACAAATTTATATAAATTTTATTTTTTACTTCATTCAATTCGAAATTGATTTCTGTCTAGATTAGATTAACAGATAATCACGTAAATAAAGATATCTGATAAATATCAGACAATTAAAGAAAATATGTAGCAGATGGTTGTTTGTTTATTCACCTTAGAGAATACTGAATTAGTCAATAACATATAAAAGATTACCATTACAAAAAACAAAATCTGTAAGATTGAATCTTTGATACCTGTGTTTCTTCTCATTATATAACAGCATTAAATATGTGGTTCAATTCAGTTTGCATTCATTTTCTTCAATATATTTTATGTAATTGACATAATTGTATATTTAAGTATAAATCAAGACTTTGTCCAGACAACACTAAATATTTTCAATTGGACAATAACATATCAAATATTTCCATAAAAAAGATCATTATATCAGCATAAAATCTTAAGAAGAAAGTGGTTCAAATTAGTTTGCATTCATTTTCATCAATTTACTTTATGTACTTGACATGATCTCAGATCCTCAATTGTTAAACTTTTGATTTTCATTTTATTAAAATTTGACCGCATTTTTTTTTGTGTGCTACTTGCAACATGTATTGACGCATTCAAGGTTTTTTGGCATTTGCATAAGAATTTCATTTATTTTTTCTAATTTTGATAATTAGAGATACTTCAAATTCGTTAAAAACACAACATAATAATAATGGTTACTATTACTATTTACACTAATTACAAATTCGTGCTAGAAACGAGTGCGATTCGACCGTATTTTTGAAGGCCTGGATATTCATGGGCGCGGCTTCGAATCTTGTGATCTCTATTCCCATTAATTACCTCATGCAAATGTATTTTCCCTCGAGATTTTCTTATAGAAAATGCATCTTACAAACAGCATCAACTTTCAAATCTGTAACGTTTTCGTAAAGAGAGTAAACCAATCATGTGATATCCCGTGACTGTTTGGGTCACGTGTATTGAGACAGCACGGAATTTTCGGGGTACACACACAATTTTGTTGGGCATTATTGATTAAATTGAAAGGAAACTCGAATAAATCATTTACAAGCATTAAACTTAAACGTTTTTCATAGCGATTCGTTAATTTTCAATTTGTAGATTATTAATAGGTGATTATTTTTTGTAATTATGGTAAAAATACGTGGAAAATCTTAAATACTAAGAGCTGATCCATAAGCTGTACGTGCTGAAATTACTTATGCACGAGGCTTCGGGCACGCCCTTTCTTCGCGATGTCCTTAATATCGATTTTTAAAGAAAATTCATTATATTCAAATGAAATTACAGTGAAACTATGAAATACAATAGTAGAAAATTCTATTTGAAAGTAAACTTTATTACTTTTTAAGAGCGTTTGGGAAAAATCTAATTATTAGCCAACATCAGTGTCTTGTGACTAGTGATATAATAAAGTAGATATGAAAACCAAGTTTCTACAATTATTTGTTTTATCAATTGTTTACTGAATAATCAACATAATACTTGATTAATAATCACATAAATGAATATTAATATACTGAAAATCAATTAAATTTTACAGAATTTTCAATCAGAAATTAATTACAAGTTAAATAAACAACCTACATAATTATGTAATATATTAATTGATTTTTTAAATACAAATGTCATAATCAATTAAAAAAGGTAGTAATTTTTACAAATATGTGAACTTTAAAGTTTTATATACTTTTGGTGAATACTAGTTTTCTTTCATTTATAAAATCCTTAATAATAATTATTCAAGTAGACAGTGATTGAAGTTTCTTATGATTTAAAATATAAGAGGTTTCTTCTAATGTGACCACGAGATATTGTCTGAATGTTTTGTTGTTAAAACTTGTTAAAACTTGTTACTCTTCCTTCTACTTGACTGGCTTTCTATCAATTCTGAGTATTTTTTTTTTATTTTAGTCACTCTTTCGGTATTAATGGACCACACAATGGATTTTTTATTGTTGATGAGATTTAAGTCTACCACCTTTTGTATCATATTTTATCATACATAAAGTCGACTATAGCATTTTGTAATAATTATGATAAAGTTAACGATTTATTGAATATATGACAGATGCAACCAGCATTGCACGCGCGCACTGATTTCGCGTTAAAATTTCCCATGAAAAATTATAACAATTCTCAAAAGCATTTAATTACATGGCGATTTAAGCTATTGATAAGAGACAAACTCAATTTCTAAATTTATTCCTATTAAAAAGTTGTAAAAATGTTTAAGATATAAGCGTCTGTTAATGAAGTTTTAATTGGTAATTTAAGCGATCTTAATTTACGAACACTGAAAGCGTTTGGGAATTGAGTCTGCTTACGCGATTCGAACTAAAATGGATGAGATTAATAAATTTGAAATAAAAATGAGCAGATGAAAGTCGTACAAAAAATTATTAATTTTGTGAGAATGGAATGTGCAAACAATGTTGATTACGCAACCGATTTGGTAGTTGCAGGTGTGATGATTAGTTTAATTGCTTCTTTGTGTTAATTCTGCTGTTTCGAAGCTGGTCGCGATTGACATCAATTAAATTTTGAATTGGCGCGCTTTTTCGCATGCGCCTTCCGGGCGGATGTGGCATCGACGAATCGTCAATCATGTGATTCAAATTGTGTCCATTGGAAATTTGAATGGGCACATTAGAGACTGCCGACCATATGACAATTGCTTTTTCGTATTTTAATAATAATTCGTCTAATTATTTCCCAATAACGTGCGGAATTAACGGCGCCGGATGCAGCGGTGTGACGGGGAGAGGGGCGGACGCGGTGACGTCACGCCAGCAAACTGTCAAAAAGCGCTGCGATTGGTGTATTTGTGTCCTTTACCGTCGGTTAAACCAATGAGAGCGGTTGCCACAGCCACACTCCAGTAGAAATTTTCTTATCGTCATATGACCCATTCTAGCTGGTAGCTGTGTAGGCCATATTTGTCAGTGGGTTCTCTGTTACTGTGGAGTGTTGTGCGCAGTTTAATTCGTTTGGACCTGTAAATACTCCGTAAAAATCTATCAAAAATGGCTTTATCTGAAGAAAACCCCGTCTATGGACCATTTTTCGGCGTCATGGGAGCTGCCTCAGCTATTATTTTCAGTGGTACGTTGGTTATACACAATTTATCCTCTTTTTTTATTTCTTAAGCATTCCACATCCTAATGACATCCCTGGCCTAGCCGCTTCACAATATCGATTTATGTGTGTGCTTCGCCCCCCATCAATGTCCAGACTAATTTTGCATGTTTTACATTTACAGAACGGCTCGTTGTTGTACAAGGCTCTTGTTCGATGTATATTAAAAGATTTGGCTTGGAAAAAATGACGGACCCGCTGGTTTCGTTTAATTTTGGCAATAAACTGGGCCTTAATCAAGGGCGTAGTGGCTCATCAATGAAACGTAGACATAAGTTGAAGCGCAGCGGAGTTCCTTTCACAGCCCTAAATGCGATCAATGCATCGAGCAAGAGCCAAGAAAACAACAGCGTAATAAAACTAATTGTTTAATAACATTTTCGCCCATCTGACCCACTTTGATGGGTCCGATCACATGCCCAGGTGTCGAGACCCGCCCGAAACCCCCAGTTTCCCCATCAAACATCCACATTCAACCAGAAAACATGACATTTCCATTGATCACATGACTCGAGATGATTGGGCATGTCCTCAAGACAAACGCCACTTGATCCATATTCACACGCGATTCATGTTTAATGGAAGAATAAAAACCCATTCGCATATTATTCATACATTACGCACTTAAATTGCCTCACATTTGATAAGGAAGGCATACTTATAGTTATGGATGGGTGTTTCCCTGTAAATGCCCATTTTGCATATAAACATGTGACTTCAAGGTTGAAACTTGATAAAAATTTTCCGACGCTTATAATATTCATAAATAATCATAATTCCATATAGTTTTCAGTAGAATCGATCAATTTCCATTCATGCCCAGACGTCACATGATTGTGGTTTCTCGAAAACATATTCCATGTATTCATTAAGGTTAGGTTTCAGTCATATGATCGGCTTTCTAATCGAGGACAAAGAAATCAATTAGTATTCCGTGCGAAAAGAAGCAACCAAAAAATTATATACAATTAAATACATGGTCACATAAGCTGGAAGAAAGTGTATCTTCCTTTTGGGGCAAGCAACAATCATGTGATTTAAGGCTGGGCTCCCCTTATCATGTGATGCATGATAATGTATGTAAACTGTAATCACAAGCTTTTAGAGTACAATTTCTCGGTTTAGGTTTATGGATTTTCCATTAATTCGGGCTGGGTCATGTGGCTATATTGCATGTGACATATTGCCACCTACTTAACAATAATTCTTTCGATTGTTGTTCTGCGCGGGGGGCGTGATTCAATAATGCAAGCGTGGCGCTTAATTCAGATTATGTAACGCGACACTGTTGAACTTTGCCCAAATGACCAATTGTTTGCTTCGTAAACAATTGAAGCTCGATTGAAGGATGCCCTTATTTCAATTAGATGATCTTGGTAGTCACGAGAAAGTGAAGGTGGATGGATACGAATGGACATGTGATCTCAAGGATAACCACTACCGCGTTACAATATCATCATGTGTGCCTGTATTATTATACACATTTCGAGAAATTAGCGTCGGATTTTGTAGTTTTTACAGTCAGAAGTAGGATGATTCACACGGGCTATTTTGCATCACAATGCATGCACTTGTACTTCAAAATATTTTTAGCTCCGGATTAATTCTCGCATTTGTATTCCGCTCCTATTAATCGCATTATTATTACAACTATCGACTGTAAACGTAAATAAACTCATCAACTCCCGTCTGATTGGCACCGATCCAAACTATTCCATGCTTTTCACCTGGACACCCAACAGACAGCGTTTCTATTTCCACTTGGTTAATAACAAATGCAGTTAGTTGCATCCATCAACAACATTGCATTCCAAGAACGATGCAGCTCAATATAATATATGTACTTGCATTATGTAATGATAATAATTTATGTTTTTTTTTCTTTCGTTCTTTTCCAGCTCTTGGAGCCGCCTATGGCACAGCGAAATCCGGTACCGGTATTGCCGCCATGTCGGTGATGAGGCCCGAACTTATCATGAAATCCATCATTCCTGTTGTCATGGCTGGTATTATTGCCATTTACGGTCTTGTCGTTGCTGTACTGATTTCCGGTAATCTTGCGGAACCAGCGGAATACCCACTCTACAGGTAATTATCGCGCATATCTTTATAAACGTACTGCGTAATGTGTACACGTATTTCAGGAATTATTATTAACGAATCTATTTTTATACATCAGAAAAGATGCTCAGAAAATATTTACATTAATCTCTGCTCTTCGAGTTTTGACATTATTCATATTAATAACGAAATAGACTTTGATACAATACACAGTTTTCGCATATTCTTAAAGTAATTAATTTAAGTAAACATAAATTGACTTCATCTATACAATTTTAAATCAAAAAAGATTATTATTTTATTGTTCTGTTCATAGTTTTAAATAGATAATTATTAGTATATTGTTTATGAATCCACGTATTAGCAAAGCCGTAAGGTGAAAAAGGTCGGTATTAAAGTTTCCGTACGTGTTCAATATAAGCCACGTTTTTCATCTCTGTCCGTTGTATTGACCCAGATTAGAGAATGATTTATCGGCCGTTTCCATGGCGATGGGTCTTCCCAAAAAATCAATGTTTTTATCTCATTTAATTCTTCGCTTATTTCGACAATGTTTGACTGTAATGAAATCGGCGTAATAAAATTGAATGAATGCTATGATGCAAATTGAATTGCTCTAATTTAATTGAGAAGATTGAAAAGAAACACCGCTGCCTGCAAAAAGCAAGGGGTGAATGATCACGGAAAATTTCAGACGCGGAGTAACAAGTCCGGAACGTCGCAGGGCGTAAAAGGGTCGATAATGTGCGGCAGAGGGTGCTCGGAAACCCCTCCTCGGGAATAATATATAGACATTTAGGTTCTGCGGTTGTGAATCGAGGAAGGGAACAAGGATACGGCTCAAGCGGTCAAAAAGTATTGATTGTTTATTTTATTTATTTCTATTTTCTTTTACAGAGGATTCATTCACTTGGGAGCCGGCCTTGCGGTAGGTTTCTCCGGTTTGGCGGCAGGATTCGCCATAGGAATCGTAGGTGACGCCGGTGTCCGTGGAACAGCCCAACAGCCCCGTCTCTTCGTAGGAATGATCCTCATCCTCATTTTCGCTGAAGTATTGGGTCTCTACGGTCTCATCGTAGCCATCTACCTCTACACTAAATAAGTTATTCATCCGTTTGCTTTTACTTCATCCCCCTTACCACCGACTTATCAGCCTGCCCCCCTTCAAACAGTAAAAAAAACCTATAACGAAAATAAGATACATTTCCAGAACCACGTCCTACTACTACTACCCCTTACGCTCCACCCCAGTTCCTCCCAATCCCCCATCTCAGTCCTACCACCCCTTTAACAAAACAAAATAACTGAAAGAAAATGAGAACACGTCTCCGTTTTAGTTCCTCGTCCAAGAAAATAATAAAAAAAAAACGCGCGTAATATTCATGTATTACTACTATCCATTTGTTTCACCTGCCCACCGTTTCCTTGGAGGGCGGTATGAACGGAAAGAAGGAGTTCTTCTTTTTTAATCATTTTGTTTTTAATGTTTAAATGTAAAAATGATTGTAACATAATTGTGAGCTTTCGGTGGAGATTGACTGGACGGTGGAACTATAAAAATATTGGTGCGAATTTATTTAGCATGTAAATAATTTTAGCAGTACTTTTAGCGATTCATTGACAGTCAACTTCATGAAAGGTTACGTCTTAATTATTGTATAGTTATATTTGTAGTATATATTAGTTAAAAAAAAGTAAGAGAACCTGATTTCAGAAAGAAAAAAAACAACCATTGATTGCTCTATTGAGCGCATTCGAGTATTTCAAATAAATTAAACAAAAAAAATAAATAGCACAATTACTTTTAATTCTGTATATCTTGATACATAAGAATTTCATTCTGTTTATGTTTGTTTTTTTTAAATAGACTTCATTTATTTTACATAATGCTATTATTACTTTAGCGAGTTTCTAATTGGATAGCTAGCTAACACCAAAGCTACAAAGTAATATATATTTACATACATACACCTAGGGCCACATACCAAGTTCACATATTTCTCTTTGTTTGGCATACATTATTATTATTATTATTGACTCGCTTCAACTTTCATTTCTGATGTTATTTCAACATATCACTTGTAAAAAGTTTAGTTGTTATCATATTATAAACTATTATTTGTTTTAAGCAGTTTGTTTCATTCAGCAGCTTAATTTAGTTTCGAGTTTTGCTCATGGTTTAAAAAAAAAGTGAAGATGAATAGAAGACGTTTAGAGATGTGTGAAAGGATTGAATCAAGACCCACTCAACCCTGCTATGAACCCACTCCAAACATTAAGTTGGAGTGATTGTATAAGTGTCATATAATAAAACCAATTATAACGAAGAAGAAAAAAAGGATAATGAAAGCAACCTTCCAATGTTTACTAAAATCTTTGAGAAATAACAGAAGATTTTGAAACGTGAATTCAAATAAAGGGATTACAAAAAAAAAAATTATGATGAATAACTTGTTGTACGTATATATAACAGCATAATGTGTATCGATGGTTTGGTGTTGATAGTAATTATACGTGTTAGCCTTCTCTGTAGTTTAGCTCGAGGAAGTGATGACACTGCGACGGATCTTCGGAACTTCCCCACTTTTTGTGACGGCGCATCCTGTCGCACTGTTTCCGCTCTTCTCTTAGCATAAGAATGTTATATAGTATTCTTCTCCCTCATTTATTTAAGTTTCAGTGTTTATTTTTACTGAAAACGAACGAACGAACAAATTGATTATTAAAGAAAAAACACTTCGGCACGGGACATTAAAAATCCCGATCACTGAATGCCTGCATTTTTTCAAGGAGTGGAAAAATACCATTAACATTGTTTGCACCTTGTAAAACTTCTGGTCATCGCAACAACAACAAAAAAAAATGTCGTTTGCGTATACTTCTTTAATTAATTTAAATAACGTGTTTTTTTTTTCTCCTTAATTTTTGTTCTGTTCACATTTTTTTAGTCCTTTTCTCTCTTTGTTGTAAACGGGGAACAGCATATATATATAATAACATGTGTGTGAAAAAAAAATGATAACTGAAACAAATTATAAAGTCATATTTGTACATTCCAAATAATAAATGAAAAGTGAAGATTTAAAACTAGCTACCGAGTATAAATGATATATCTATATAGATTAAAATAGAAAAGAAGATAATTCTTGTTTGTTTTACTGTCGTTTATTTATTTCCGTTTTTTTGACTCGATGAAGTGTTCAGTCTCGCTTATATCGCAGTAACCATTACAACTTTACTTCTAACTTGTGTTCAAAAGTACATGAATAAATGGATCTAATTGATGATGGCGTTAAATTCTTGCTGTCCACCGAACGAATTGCGACTGTTGCATGGACTTTGTGAGCGGTGAAGATTTGATTTTTCTATTTCGCTCGGAGCGTTTCATTCTCACCAATGATTGCAAAAGAAAATTAATAAATGTGTACGACGAACGAACCATACAATTAACCGTATATATATATAATAGTGTAATTTATGATATATTATATTAACCGTACTTACTGCAAAGTTAGGGCAACTCTAATTAAATCGAAGATACAATATATTGGGTACATGATAAGATTGTAAAGAGTTTTCTTTTTTGCATGGTTATTGTTATATATAAATATAAAAATAGATTTTTTTTTGTTTTTCCTGTTTCGTTCGAAGACAAATGGAATAGTTTGTTCGTTAATTATAATATTAAATCTGGTTGTAGCATTGAGACTTGGACTTTTTATTATTACACTTTCTTCTCAACTCATCTGAAATAACAAGTGGAATAGTTTTTTCACAATCATCAAAGTAAAGTATTTTTAGTTTTATATATATAACTTATATATTTCAAACTGTTGAGTAGTTAATTATTTTGTATGTATTTTATTTATTTTTAGAACTTTATCTTATATTTCCTTTTTAAATCCTTTTCATTGGATTAATATTGAACTTACTCAAACTTTCAGACAAAAAGTGCCTTTTCGACTTGCATATTCTTAATAATTGTTTGCTGTGAATCCAAGTAGGTTTTGTTTTCTTTAGGTGCTTGCGAGTTTTACGTAATACCATACCAACACATTTTTGTATCCTGTATTTCGATTTACATCTTACAACTTTACTAAATCTATGAAAGGTACTAAAGTTATATCACGATTGTTTGGGATATGCATGGTAACGAACAATATATATTCTCTAGAAGTTGAGTTTCAGTTTGTAACTTGAATTGATTAAAATAACTCTCAGGTTTTTGAATGGAGGCATTGCGAAAAGGTGCATTGTGTAAGTTCGGATTTCCCGCATTTCTATAAATAGCGTCCATTTCTGAACCGGGCGCGCACTACGTTGCTAAATATTTTATTTAATTGAATTGCAAATTGTTTGTATGGGAATTGTGTCTGTTGCAAGGTCGATGCAATGCAATCAATACAATATTTATCAAACATATTAATCATAACATTGATACTATATGTAAAAGTAAGTATTCAATAGTCATATTCGAAATTATAACGACTCTTAAGTATACAAGTTTGTATGACGTTAAGACCGAGTGTCACTGTAACCGAGGTTATTATATTTTATGTATCTATGAATTATTATTTTTTTGTTTTTAGCGTCATTTTGACATTTTAGCCTCATACCTAATGTAGTTGAGAATTTAATTTTACATTTATTATAGCACTATTCCACTTACATTAAGAAGTAGCGAAATAAAACGTATTTTTCTGTAAAATATTGTTTTTTTAATCAACATTTACTAATTACCTTCACATAATTCAAAAACTAACATGTTTTGTTACGTAAAATTGACTCATCTAACATGGTTAATTCAGGAAAAATACATAGGAAGTCGAGACGAAAATAATTTGTTAAAGTAATAAAACGTTACTTAACAAATATTGTCTTAATCCAAACCTTGTAATATTCAGATATAGTAGAAATATTACGGATCTATATCGCAAGTCCGACAATCGAAAGACCATTGAAATCCCGACAACCATAATCCCGACTATATCAAAATCTCGACAATCATAATCCCGACTATACCTAAAATTTTACAATAACATTAATAACAATAAATTCTTATTAACTTATTTGATTTTGTTGAATTATTCATAATAAACCTTAGCATTATGAAATAATCTCAAATACAATTAGATTATTAATTGTTATTAGTTATTATTAATAACAATTTTAAGGTCATTACACTCCGGAATAATTTAAAAATGTTATTGTAGACATTTTCGATATAGTCGAGATTTTGATACAGTCGGGATTATGGTTGTCGGGATTTCGATACAGTCAGCATTTCAAACGTCGGGAATTTGATTTGGTATTTCGGTTGTCGGGCTTGCGATTGCACCGAAATATTACAAATACTGTTACCACTAAAACTAGGTGTAATCAAATTAGTTATTCTTCTTTTTAACCTCCTTACGAATTCAAAATTATTCATGTAAATGTTAAAATATATAACTTATTGTCAATTAACTTTAGCTCAATTCACAGCATGTAAACAAAATAAAATTAAAACATATTCATATAATCATAATAGTGAAATAAAAAATGATCAATTTACCATAGATCCCTAGGTTAAAATTATTTAAATTCTTTAATTTAATTTCCAATATTTTTTTTCAAATTACATATATAAAATTAACATAACAAAGAAAAGCATATGACGTACTATATTTTTTTTTGTGAAATACTTGTTTATATTTATTAATTTAAATTCAATTTGGATATTTTTTATTTAAATTCATAATTAAAATGGATTACCTTTTCTTATATTATAATAATTTATTATATTTATTTAACAATTTGTATTTTCCCATTTAGAAATTGAAAAAAGCAAACTTTTATCTACATTTCAAGGATATAAATATCTTACATAATAATGGATTTAATTTTATTCAAATTAAACATTAGTTTGACTCAGAAAATACAATGAAGATTTGTAATTACAAATTAGTAATTGTTCACAAATAGAATGATAGTTCATTACAATTATAGTTAGTTTTCAGAAACAGGAATGGGAATTCCTAGTAATATTCAACATTTGAATACTACGTTTATTAATTATATTTTAATTAGTAATTTGTTTTCAAAGTTTCAATAATATACTAGATATTTAATTTAGCACTGTATAAATATAAATTAAAATAATTACATTTTATTAACCTTACAATATATTACATGTATATATTTATTAAAGCCTATAAACTCAATGTAAAGATTAGATAAACCATAGAAATTTTAGTATTATTAACATTCATAATTGGCGTAACACTGTTTCGCGGATGCACTTAATTATTCGCACATCCGATTCTGCCAATAAATCAATGATTAGTCATTTCATAGTTAATGATAATTGAAGTCCAATTTCACGTGTCGCGTTGCATTTTGATCACTTTGTAATGGAAATCTGTTTAATGAAGAAATTAGTTGTTTTTTTTTTTGGAATAATACCTTCCACAATGTAAGTAATTGTAAAGAAGTATTGACAAGGAGAGTTTAATTATTGGATTAACAAATCATTACTTATTTTATGATTGATAGTTCATTATAGTCAAGTTAAGAGTAAATCGGGTTTCTTTTCTAAATCATCTGTGGTATAAATCTATTTCTAATGATGAAGAGGTAAACAAAAATAGTAAACATATTTAGTATCGGTGTTTTCAAAGAAAGGAATGGGTATTTCGGGGAGTGGAGTAAAAGTCGGTATAGTCGATATAATTCGACCTGCGCGCTACCATTAAGCTGAAACCTCCTGGAAAGGATGCACGGGCCGGAATAAGCGACGAGGAGCAGTTTATGAATATATATCTATTTATTGTGCCTTTCGACACGTGTCCGTGCGTCCGTTAATTGCAGATACAATATTTATAAAATACAGAGCATTGCACACGGAACGCATTCCAGCTCCGCACACGCCGACCAACTGTAGACGAACGGAAAGACGGAGGACAAGTCCAAAAACTATCGAAGACTCAAGTAAGTTTTCTTTAAAAAATCGAGTTCGCATTGCCAACGGCAGCATCCCGTCGGTCCTACCAACCGAATCTTTGAATATTTTAATTTTTCATCTCAATTTAATTTTTTGGCGGCAAATTCGAATGGAGCGTTCGCGCTAATTTTCGTATTTATCCGATCAAAGCTGTCACTTACTTGTTGTTCGATTTACGTTTATATTTATTTTTTTTGCTTTCGCGCGGTGACCAGTGCGTTGTGCTTACTCAATGCTATCAAAAATACAATCCTTATCTGTTTCGTATGTAGCATCATTATCGTTTTTTTTGGGTTCGAATTAAATGACAAGAGTTTGCTTTTGAATATACAGCACGAGCGTTCTGCGCCACGGCTTTAGTTGCGCGTTTGGAGCCGTTTGCTGGAGACGACGATGGAAATCGCGAGGATCGATATCACCATTTCCGAGGATGACATTTTCAATGGGGCCCGGCAAATTTTGAACGTCATCCGACCCACGTGGAGGCCGGAACAAATCAAGTACAAGGTACGCTTTTCAAAACTATTACACAAAAAAACAACAACAATTTTTTGTGTGTTGCAATAAATAGAATTTGTGAGCGATTGAGTTAACGCGTGCGGAAACAATGAGACGCGTTGTCATGCAATTGCTACAAACTATAATTTTCTTTCTAATGGGTAGTACACAAATGATTCAAGATGTTAACAGATGGGATCACGAATAAACTGGTGAAATGCAGCTTGTCGGATACTTCGGATGCGGTTCTGGTGAGGGTTTACGGGAACAAAACGGATCTTCTGATAGACAGGACGGCGGAGACAAGGTAAAACTATTGTTGCGACAAGAGTTAGAAATTGTTTTTTTTTTATTGCGTGTTCTTTTGCAGAAATATTGTGATGTTGAATAAGGTCGGGCTCGCGCCGAACCTCTATGCGACCTTCAACAACGGTCTTGCCTATGAATTCGTGCCGGGATGCACCCTCTGCGACGAATCCGTTATAAAACCTGAAATATACCCTTTGGTGGCAAGGAAGATGGGCAGGTTGCATAGGGTGGAATTTGAGGATAGCAGGGACACCGAACCGATGCTCTGGAGAAAGCTGGACGACTTTCTGAAGTTGGTACCCGAGCGGTTCTCGGATGCGGCGAAGCACGAAAAGTAAACTCAAACAACATTATTTATAAGTTTTTATTGTAACAAATTGCTTTCAGGTATCTGCAGACTGTTTTACCCAAGGATGAGATTCGAAATGAGATTGAGTTTCTGAAGGAGAGGCTGCTGCAGCTCCAAAGTCCGATAGTGTTTACGCACAATGACCTCCTTCTGGGCAACGTCGTATACACGGCCTCCAACGAATCCGTCACCTTCATAGATTTCGAGTACGCTGCATTTAATTATCAGGCCTTCGACATTGGAAACCACTTCTCGGAATTCGTCGGTGAGCGCTTCTAATTTCTCCGCGTTTATTCATTTGCTTAACGCATACAATTTTAGGCTTGGACAGCATCGATTACGCAAAATATCCTGGCAAGGAATTTCAGTACGCGTGGCTCAAAGAGTACCTGACAGTCTTCAAAAAAGGCGAAGTGAGCGACGAAGACGTGGAAAGGCTTTACGTCCAGGTGAATCAGTTTGCGCTCGCTTCGCACGTTTTCTGGGGAGTTTGGGCCCTCATCCAAGCCGAGCATTCCTACATAGATTTCGATTTCATGGGGTAAATCCGCTCATCTCTGAGTACAATAAATTAAACTAAAACTTATACCAATTTACAGTTACGCCGCCATCAGATTTAACGAGTACTTCTCTAGGAAAGAACAGTTCCTATCCCTCGAGATGCCCAGATGATATTAAACCTATGTTTGTACCTGAGCAGAAGCTAATTTTAAACGATGATTTATTTTTTACTATTAAATATATATACATGTTTTTTCTTCTTCTTTTTTAATCCGTCGTTTAATATGTAACAAACAAACAATCAAAAAGTACGAGGCTATAAAGTACGGGGAAAGTTTTCGGGGCAACTTACCTACAAACCTATCTAAATATAGTGTGCAAATTTCCATGAGTTTCTCGGTTTTATGATTTACTGAGGCCGTCTGTTCGTGACACCCGTTTAGGGGGGCGGTTGGTTGTTTCTCGGGGGGTTCTTGGCAGGCGGCGATGTGATGAGTAAAGACGATGGCGTGTTCGTCGGTATTTCTGGGTGGCACTTGGAGGAAGGTGGTGCGTGTAACAGTAACAGGTGTTGTTTAAATATCTCTCACGCCGTTCCGGCCAACCTGTTCCAATTTCTGACCCCGTTTCTAGTCTTCGAATGCACACCCCCGTCGTGACACCTCAAAGAACTTCATTCCATTTGCGATTCAATCCAAGTAAGTTCCAGAATTCGTTTGCTTTCCTATTTCACGCAACTGTGAAAATAGTATAAATACAAGGTGGTGCAAAATTTGTACCACATCACTAGAAACATCTTCATAAAATAAACAATAAATGGAGATAAAAAGAATTCATAAGAAATTGATATTCAAGCAATTATTCTTAATAGTTTCCATAAATCAAAAACAAAATCATAAATTAGATGGCTGTATCTTAAAAAGCATTCAAATCCAAAGTCTAAAAATTACTCAAATAGTTTAAAAATGTTGTATCTCTTATCTCTGCAAATGTTATTTTTTTAATAACTTTGTTTTTGAGTCAAAGTCTTTCCAATATTTTTTTCAAATTAAAATTATAATTAAATATATAATTAGAGTATTCAAAGCTTTAGAATCACAAGGTCTTTATAATTTTACTAAGTTATATAAAAATATAGATCTGTTTCATATAATTTACAAAATACTAATGCGTGTAAAAACCATTTCATAAATTGAATAAAAGCATTGAATTTTATTTACAAAAGACGGAAACATTTAAAGCATTTTGTAGTGAAAAAAAAACACATATATTTTTTTGTTGTTTATTTTTATTTCACAATTTCATGTCTGTATTCGTATTTTATAATTGTAACAAATTGTTCTATGTACGAGTTAAACAGATAACATTCTATATTTGTTTTCACAATGTGTTTCTTTTTATATAATAGTTTCGTAATCCAAGTTGCTGCGTTATCTAAGTAATATGTGTACAATTTTCAATTTGCTACTTGACTGCAAATTGGAAAATAATATCTCAAATGTTTCTTCCATACAACAACAAAAAAACAATATAAGAATTAGGAATCTTCGATAAAAAAATATTATCTTTTAATCTCCTACATACACATTCTATTTTTAGTAAATATACACAAAATTATCTCGTGGTTGACAATTCTAAGAAAACATCTGACGAGTATAACAATAATGCAGGTGTTAATTAATTTGTGAAGGTGAAGTAAATCTTTTCAGTTGTTGGTATGTTATGCTCATATCAAGTTACATATGTATGTAACATAGCTATTGTGTCATTGCTCATATGTTTCTTTAATGTTTTTTTTTAAAGAAACGTCTATACTAGTGACTGCTTTTTTAGACATATACAAGCAAGTCTCAATGGCGATGTTTAGTTTCTTTGCTATTTTATGTCTTAGATTTAATTGTGTCTGCTGTTATCTTTGAATTTAAATACAAAAAAAATAACTAATTTTCATAATTAGTTAAATATAATCTACTTTCTTGATATTTCATATTTAAAAATATATTAAATATCTAAGATAGAAATTATGTAACATGTAACATGTATTAAATATTAAATTTATTGTTTTGTAAATATTAATATTACAAAAAAATATGGAATAAATAAAATATAAATGAAATAATTTTTTTTAATTACAAAAATATTACTTTAAGTTCTATTTTATACCAATGTTTAATGGTTATGTATTGTTTTTTTAATTTCGAAATTTATCGTTAAGTAAATTGAAAATATACGTAATTATCTTCATGTTACAAAAAAAATATCTCACATTAAACTGTGATTCAAGTATAATTTGATTTATTTGATTTTGTTCTAAATAGAAATATTTTATTAACTATAAAAGAAAGAAAATGTAGTTTTTAGACAAAAATGTGTAGAGATGATAGAATTGAGCAAAACAACAATAAATTATAAACTATTAGTACACAAAAATGATCGTTTTTTTTTTGTCTCTTTATATAGTCAGTCTCTTTTTGCACAGTTTATGCAGTTCTAAAGTCCTCGATATTAGTGGAACCAAATAACCGCACTATTCGAGTTATTGTTGTATTTTCAATTAATTTGCATACATACATATAGTATTCTATACTGAAAAAGCGTCTAGTGTATTCATTCTTTATATAATTTTAACATGAAATATTTGTTACGACATTAAATAAAATGTTATAGGTTTTCCATAAAAGAAATAGTATAAAACCTATATATTTCAATGAAGTTTCACTATTCACATTTGATTCGACATTAAATGTAAAATATTATGTTCGTTCATTATTGGTTTCTCTAAATTTGTCAATAAATTCTTGTAAATCTTTGAAACCGGACTATTTGAATCTAATCAAGGACATTAAGACCGCATAAAAGAACAATAAATACTTTGCAATTAAGTTCAATTTGTTAATAAACTTTTACATAGATAATTGTAAATTTAAAAATAATCAAATTTATACCTTTTTTTACGTAGAAAATTAATTTAATAATTATTTGTTTTCGCAAATGAAGATGATATATTTTTTGTTTGTACAATGAAAATTAAATATTACAATCTGGCCTTATCACAGTTAAAATATGTGGAATGCACTTGTGATTAAAATGTGAATGACATGAACAGGAAAGTTTATAAATTATTATGTTATTACATTTGCATTAAATACACATGTCGTTACAAATCGACATAAAAATGCAGACGATTGCAGGAATGGTTGCACAACGATCTATACTCTATATATATATTTATATTTTTTTTGCAAACAATTACGCAATCAAAACAACAACAAAAAAATAATAAAGTTGCGGATGTATGTAATTTTCATTCGTCGTTCGTGTCTGCGCGTAATTAACTTTCGGAAAACTTCAATCGTTACGGAAGGATAATCGCATTCTGTTTAATAAATACATAACCCATCGTCGAGTCCATATTTTTCATTCCTTATATTCACAGGATTTCTTACGTACAAATAACGCAGTTTGTTTTGCTCCTCACTTATCTGCATCGAAAGTTCTGGTCGAGTAAATTCTGATCGTGTTATCTATGTACAAATAAACGTCTAATAATAAACACACATTTTTGAAGCGAAATTGTCGTAATAAAAAAGATTTAAGTGTATAAAACCGGATCTATTCGAAATATTAAAAACAAGTTGTTTTCTGAACTCTTAAATACAGACTCAATTGAATGGAATGTTTTTACAGATTATTTTGTTGTTAATTGTTGCCTAAAATTATGTATTTATTAGTGAATATATTTAATAAAAATACTAATTTTGGTAAATATTTATTCATGGAAACTGATTTTAATCAAGGAAGTGTTGGAAGCTGTTATCTTTACATATCATTTGAAGAAATTGGATGTAATCCAGGATTTAGTGAAAAAGACTCAATTGAATGAAAAGTTTTTACAGATTATTTATTTGTTAATTGTTGCCTAAAATTATGTATTTTTATTACTGAAATTATTTAATAAAAATCTTATACAAATTTTGGTAAATATTCATTCATGAAAAACTGATTTTAATAAAGGAAGTGTTGGAATCTATTATCTTTACATATCACTTATAGAAATGTAATCTAGGATTAAGTGAAAAGATAGCGTGTAAGGAAAATTAATACTGCAGAAAAACAATACCATAAAACTACAATCATCTGTCAATCTATCTGGATAGAAGAGAAATATGAAATGGTAACATGCAAGTGATTGCAGATTCTTAAGTGAAAACATGCAAATATCAAAAGAAGTTAAATATAATATAGGTAATATTCAGCAAAATAAATTATTCGAATGATATTGTTTGAGAAAAGAAAATAGTCAAAATTGTTATACAAAAGTTTTAATTTTTTTTCCAATTTTAAGATTTAATTAAAAACTTTTACCACACAATATTGCAATTATTTTTGTGTATTTTTTTTATAAATTATTTAAATACTAGAAGTAGAAGAAAATATTGATACTAGACAGCATTTCTCAAACTTTCTTTACATATAAGTTTGTAGAAAACTTTGATCCAAGTATGTACAACTAATAATATTACAGCAGTTCCTCGCTTTGACACAAGGTAACAGTTGTCAAAATACCTACTTAATAAATTGTGTATTTGCCTAAAGGTTGAGAAACGCTGTTCTATAGTAAATAACAAATATGAAAAATAAACAGTTTGAGATTAAAATTGAATAATTAGAAGAAATAAGTAAAATTTTAATTTTTGGTAATTTATGTTTAAAATTACATTTAATTATTCACTTACTTTAAAAGCCTTCCAAACAAACAAGTTAATTAGTATACAATTGCAATTATCAATACATTTTTAAAATATTCCATTTTAAGAAAATTAATTAGTACTATAAACATATGGAACATAAGAGAACATTAAATGGTAATAACGATAACGAAGTTTGGATATAAACAAAATCCTGAATTTCAATTTAACATAAAAAATGTTCCAATTTAAGACCAACGCCCAATAATGATCCAAAAGTGTTGATAAGTGGATGTTAGAAATTTATTTAATTTCAGTTCAAATTTTTCATTTCTTTTGTCATAGTAATTTTTACCTCTAAAATCAAAGTTTTGCTTAATTTAGTCATTTTGTGAAACACATGTCAGAAATTGCATAGTTCAACATTTCTCAGAAATGAACTAATGAATCTTATAGATTCTGCGGTTTTGCAAATTTCATAATATGATTAAATACTTTAAAGTATTGATTGATAATTATCTGCATGGCTTTTCCTAAGAACTTAACAAAATACATCTTTTTAATTCAAAATGCATGTCAATTATCTTAAGGCATTTCATTGATGCTTAATTAATATGACTTAATATGATTAAGTAAGACCTGAATTAACGCTGATTCGACCTATTTTCCTTATAATTTGCATTAGTTTCTCTTGTTTAGCGATTGTCGTCTAGCAACGTAACCTAAATTAAATCTACTTACTGTACTTAATACGAGTATTGACAGGCATCTCCAATTGAATATACTAAGATGAACACACAGGGTGACCCAATTGAACTGCAACCAACTTAAAACTGCTATAACTTTTTAACCGTTGGCAATATTGTGTCCATATTTCGCCTAATGATAGCTGATTTTATTATTTACAAGCTTGCGGAAGCATTTGCATCTCACTTTTTTGGAAAACAATTTATTAGTGATGGAATTCAAACATAATAGTGTGATAGCTCAATATTTGAGCGGAAAACCAAAAGTGGCTATTGTTAGAGCCCTCGAACACCTTAATGTGAAAAGATCTTTCGTAACTCGAACAATAACACATTATAACAAAGCTAGTAATGTTAAAAAATGCTATTTACTTATTATTTAGTTAAAATACTGTAAAATTTCCAAATAATAACTTTAAAAAATGAAAATTGTATTCAAACTATGAACAATTTATATTATTTTTTTAGTAAATTGTCATATATTAAGAATTAATTATTATCAATTATCATTTACAAAGAAGTAACTTATTATTTTTTTTATATATCAAAATATATGAATAGAACTTCATATTTTGAAAAAAAAAAAAAGAAATTGAACAACATTAATAATCTTGTATTTTTCTTTTGCAGATATATTGGATTCCGATTGTTTCGTGATTGTTATTTTTATTACTTAACTTCGACGAAACGGGATATTGCGGTCTGCGAGTTTCGTATATTATTAGATTATGATAATGGAGCGTGACGAAATGAAGGATAATAGATCGGGAAATGAGCATGGCTTATGGATTAGCTTCAGTTCCCGCGAAAACAGCAAACGCACCGGGCAGCTACCGAAAATGATGGAGGAAATCATGGAAAGGCTGAAAGAACCCCAAGAGAGCGAAGATGAAATGGACATCACTTTTCCCAGTGATTACGAGTGGAGGACGAAGCTGTATTTCAAGTTGCTCGACAAGCAGAAAGAAGGAAAGTAAGATAATTGGAAATTGTAATCATCGCCACATTTACATATCAAAATGCTTAATAATAGTAAAGGAATACACAGTTTTATGCTTAATTTATTCTATGTAATTTAATTTAAATATTAATACGCTTAAAAGCCATAAATAATTAAACAAGAAACTTAGTTTTCAGTTTAATTTATTTTAATTAAATTACTATCTTAATTATTCGTTTAATTAAAATTCAAATATTCCACTTTTGTTACGCTTGAAAATAGTATAACAATACATGAAAAACTTGGTTTAATTTAAATTTATGCATCGCTTTATTACGTCTATACGTCTATATAATAAGTCTATATCAGATAATAAAAATACTGTCGATATTTTATTACTCTCGGGATTTTGATTCTGTCGGGATTAAAGTTGTCGGGATTATGGCTGTCGGGATTTTGATATTGTCGGAATTATGATTGTCGCGATTATGGTTGTGGGGATTGTGATACTGTCAGGATATCGAATGTCGGGATTACAATATCAACCCGAAATGCATGGATTTAATTTAATCAAATAAATAAGCAACATACAATTTAATCAGCTTTTAATGGTAATTGAATTAATTTCATGTGAAAACTTTTTAATGGGACTTTAATTGGATCACAGGCGGCGATGCGATCGAAATAGTTAATTATAGCACCCCCAAATACATGAGGCGCCTTTTCCACGCACAAGAAACGTATATTATTTATCACATAAATTTATTACATAAAAGACAACGATGTCTCTGCGTCTTTATTGTTAAAGCTATTTACTGTCTCACGTACGTATTATACACACACATAAATATATACATTTTTTTTGCAGTATTTTTTATGGTTGTTGTTTGTTGTTTCTTTATTTCGGTAGGGGTTGATTTATGACGGAAGCGAAGTTTCGGATCGCGAAAGTGTATAATGCCATGACTAGATGTAATAGGACTTTGTTGAAGGTATTGGGAAAGTCTTGCATGACTTGCACAACACGAGGTCCCCGATATGACATATTATTATTAGATTCTGTGCCATTGGGAATCGAAACCCATCGAAGTATCGAATCTCTCGATTCGTTATTTTCGCGACTACCCATTTCAAAGGTCATCCTCGAATGCGAAATCTATTATCCATGCTTGTTTGATCATTAAATCAAAACATTTGAAATGCCTTCTACTTTTAGATATATTTTTTCCGTCTGTCCTGGAGAACCGACTTTTTTCAATTAAAAGTTATACATAATTGACCTCTTCTAAGATTTAAACATACATTCATTAAATCTAAATGTGCATTCTTTTTAATGTTAAACAATTTCAATAGTTCATAGTCTAATTATCTATTACATTTAAAGTTTACAACTTTAAAAATGCATATTGTCTGCATATTTGAAATAAATTTCCTCTTAATTGAACAACACTTGCCAACACATTTAAGTTTTTTAATTATTCCAAAAGTTTTGTATTTTTTTTTGTAAATTTGATGATAAACACTCAATAAATTAAGTTACTGCAATCTATATCAAAATATTTGGAAAGTTTACCGAAATGTCATCGAATCAATTATTCAAGAATATTTTTTACAATCAAATATAACAAAAAATTCTAAATGAAATTTGGATCTGATAAATTTTTGTTAGTTGTTTTGATAATTCTAACAAAATAATTATCGTTTCTTATAATAAAGAAATTTTACACTATTTGAGAATTATTTGTATATAATCAATATATTATGAATGAAATGTTATTATCATTGATTATTTAAATAATTATCGATAATGTGGACAAACGTATTTAGTAATTAATTATATGTTAAATTTTGTAAAAATGAACATCATATGAGAATTTCTACTTTAAAAGTAATATAATATTAGAAAAATATATTTGAATTTAAGTAATTTTTATTAGTAAAACTAAATTAAAGTCAATTATCGTTGAATAATTACAAGAAAAGTCAATTATTTTCCTGTTTAAATATAAATTTTATACAATATTTACATCATCTGATTGTTTACTGATAATTTGAACACTAAAATCCGTATTTTCATTTGAACATTACTATTATCCAAGACTTCTTGTAAACCAGTGGTTTCTAAACTTGATGTTACTACACCTCACTTAAAAATATTTAATCCGCTCCTACATTTCAGATTGTTTAAAAAAATTCAAAATATCACAATTTTCGAATTTTAATTATATAATTGTAAAAACAACTTTAAAATTAAAGAACTTTTAGAATCTTATTTTCTTATTATTTAAACATTCATAATTTGTACTTTAAATAACAATTCTTCAGTATTTGCTTATACGAGTTTTGAATAATTACTACCAATATTTTCAAAGCTCAAATCTTTATTACAAATATTTTTTATAGAATTAGTCTTAAAATGTTATCAATGAAAAATTAAATTTGTTAAATTTGGTGTAATTTGTAACAAATAAAAGTAAAGGAAAGCAGAAGAAAATTATAATCTTTTCAATATTATTTTCGAAAATCATTAATTGTTTGTTATTTAAATTATGATTGTTTATACGTGTTAATTTTTTTGTAAAATTACTACATACAAAGTTTGTTTGTTTTTTAAATAATTGTTTAGAAAATCTCAATAAATTGTTTATAATTTAAAAAATATATGTTATAGGACGCATTGGGTTACAGTACAACAAGGTCGTAAAATGAAACTCCTACGACAAAAGCGTAAAAATGTTACTGATTCCTCAAAACAAATTAAATTTGCTTTAATAATAATAATAATTTATTGGCCAAACATCGATACATAA